CATCAAGCTACATATTATACAGTCGCTGGAAGTTTAAGAATAATACAGTGAGAAGCAGTGAAGATGAGAAACTCATATTCATTGCAGATTTTACTGCTGGTCATCTATTTCTTTTCTTGCATATCTTATCTCAGCGAATGGTATCACCCAAGCCTGAAGCTTGGGGGTTATCTTATTGACACTCCTTCTTTCCCTTTACCCTTCACTTTAATCCATCACTAGTCTTATCAGATCTGAGGCCTCATAGATCTTAAACCTATCCATTTTTTCCCAGCCCCTTTAGCCCAAGCCTAATACAGACATCTCTGAATTCCTGCAGCAGCCTCCATGTGAAGTGCCTGTTTCGGGTTCCAAGACTTTATAGATGAGGAAATTGAAGCACTGTGACTCTGTGCAAAGTACTAAACTCTCTAATAAGGAAGGAGGATGATGGGCAGAGCCTGCATTTGAGCTGAAGTCTATCAAACTTTCAATCTGAGCTCACAACCTCTAGTCTATGTTCCATCCGTCTGCTAGTTGCTCCCCCACCAGCACAACTGAAACCAATTATTGCTTTATCCTTTGAACTGGTGTACTCTAATGATCTATATAGCCAATTACAGAATGAAAGCCTTTTAAATGGAGGCTTGGTGATCATTTCAAATTAGCTCCTACTTTTAAAAGATGAGAAAGAAAAGACTCAAACTGATACAGACGCTTGCCCAGATCACAATTCTTGTGAATAGTCGTCAAAATCAGACCTCAGGTTTCCTATTCCTGACTCCTAACTCCTGATTCCTAATCCACGGAATAGCTAAACAAGTTATAATTTGCAAAGCTCCCAATTTAAGGGTTAAATGAGTTAAGGGTATGAAAATACAGTTGCGTTATAGTGATACCAACTGCCCATTTGTAAAGAATGGGCAATTTTGACTAGAATTGGGATATATGACAGCTGGAAAAGATGCTATAGATCATGAAAATGTGGTTCCCTCATTTTATATGTAATAAAGCCAAGGCAGGAAAAAATAAAGAGTGTGATGGGAGGCCCACACAGCCAAACTGAAATTAAAACCCCTGGTTTTCAATTCAGGGTTCTTTCTACCGCATCAGCTTCCCATTCTGTGCTTATATGAAAATGAGCAGATAAGTCTAAGGCAAAATGATGACAACAACAGACCAACAAATTGTTTAGGACTGCTTCTTCCAAGTGTACACACACAGACAAGCTACTGTTTTCTGGCAGATGACTTTTGGACCCGAGGGTCTTTCTCTCTTGGAAGGTCCATAACTTGCACAGACACAGCACCATGCACAGGAGCTCAAGTCTACAATCCTATCATGGTCATGTGGACCTGTAGACACTCACTTCATCTTTGTACGGTTGTTTGACTATATCCCGGAAAATTGGAATGTCAGATGTGTTTCTGAGCTCATTTCAAGATTGTTATAGGTTTGTGGACCTATTCCTGAGCATAAAAACCAAGTATACAACTGCTAGACAGGGTAGAATGTTGATTAATAAGAAGTCTTCCATGCACTAGAATAGACATCAGACTGAACGAACCCCCACACATGAAAGTAAAATTTGCCTGCATTATAGTGATAAGTAAACACATAGAGAAAAAAAGATAAAAGAATCAGCTAATCCTAGTTTTTTGTTTGTGTGTTTCTGAATCCTGCCACGAGATCAGGCCAAGCTTGGGTTGGGCTCCTCAAAACCACTTCAAAATATAATAACTAATAATAAAGAAAAAGAAAAGGTTAAAATTGTAGATTGAAAACTCTAAGCTTTTGGTATTAACTTTTAATTTATGGAAAGAAATGACTATACAAATATTTACAATCTACAGTTGGAATAACTGATGTTCTACTGGAGGAGGGAAAAAGAAATTCTAGGTTCATTTCCATAAAACCCTGTTAAGTCTCTCATTTAAGTCAATCAAGTCTACTTTTTCATTATAATCTCTTATCTTTATTAAGTTTTCTAGTGATCAGTCCCATTCAATTGATTACATAATTCATGTAAATGAAGCTTTAAGACAATCCCTTCACTGCCTCTCTTCAATCAGATTGTCTTTCTTAATTCCACCCTCTGCGTCTCGTATAAACCCTTGTGTCTGTCCTTCCTACAGATCCTCCCACTATCACAGAATCCAAGAGCAACGAAGCCACCACAGGGAGACAGGCTTCACTCAAATGCGAGGCCTCAGCAGTACCTGCCCCTGACTTTGAGTGGTACCGCGATGATACCAGGTACGTGTCACATCTGTCCCTCTACTCCACAAGGTGGTCCTAGAGATACCAGAAGTCCCACGGAGAAACCAAGACAATTATAATTATGAGGAACTATTCTATTAGACTCTTCCTTCTCACTTTTGTCTATCTTTTGTCAAGTGCTCTATCTTTTGTCAAGACTCTACTTTTGTCAAGTGCTTTGTGGCCTTTAGCTCTTAAGCTGAACCCAATAGCAGTCAGCTAAAATAAATATAAAAGTGGTTTAACAGGTAGCTTCCAGCCAGCTGTCTTTCTTGCCTATGACAGAAACTCAAGCCCCTTCCTGAGTTTCTGTCAATGGACATTGATTCTGATAACATGGCATCATGCAATCAAACAACAATCTCTAGCTACTCCCTTTCTCTCCTCTTCCGCCAATGTAAAGATGGGGAAAGAATTTGTAAGCTTACATGTTCACCAGCTTTCCTTTTTGCTCTTCTGTTTTCGAACTCTTAGGATAAACAGTGCCAATGGCCTTGAGATTAGGAGCACGGAGGGCCAGTCCTCCCTGACGGTGACCAACGTCACTGAGGAGCACTATGGCAACTATACCTGCGTGGCTGCCAACAAGCTGGGAGTCACCAATGCCAGCCTAGTCCTTTTCAGTAAGTATGCCAAAAGCGGGCACAACTCAGCAGAAATAATCTGAATTCTCACACGGAAAACTTGAAACTCATTCCCCTGTGCTTTAAAGGTAAACTTGCAGAAAAACAAGGATATGCTCACTAAGAAAAAAACACAGAGTTCTCAATCCCTGTGCATAAGGAGAGATCTATAGTTATTGTTTGTTTGTTTATTTGTTATGTTTTGTTTTTTGTTTTTTTGTCTTGGTTGGTTAATCTGAAACAATATTCAGAGAACACAAATCTCCTTGCTGATGGTCTCTTTAAGAAGCAGAGGTGATGTAAAAGCCTGAAAATGGATGGCAGTTAAAAAATGGCAGTGATAAGAGTGATTGAGGAGGAAATACTCAGTGAGAACGGATAAGGTGCTGGGAGAAGGGAGAGGCTGGAAAAAGAAAGTGTATTTTTAACAACATAAGGGGAAGGGTGAAATGAATGATTAAAACATAAAATCTGCAGAAAGCTTTCTATGTGACAGGAGACATTACTTTTCTGATATATTTTTGGAACACAGATAGAATGGTAGAAAAGAGGAGCATTTCAGAAGACTAGAGAAGATCTTGGAAGTAGACAGTGCAGGAATGAGTGGTTTCAAAGTTATGGATGTTTGTAGGGGGCCCCACCTTGGAGTTTTGCCGGTCAAGTTTCTCACTCCCCTGCCTTGTTGATCAGGTCGCTCTAAGTATAGATGTAAATGTCCCCAGAAACCAAATAATTATGAATGGGATCACAGAAAAATGCTAGCATTTGGGATAAAGACATGTTTATCAGAATAAATAAATCATGCAAAACAGTTAGCACGTGTTGAGTCAGAAAATTCATTTGGACTAAGGGGAAAAGTCCAAAGAAAGTACTGTTGCTATTTTGGAAAAGCAAAGAACTTAGACTTTTTTCTTCAGCACAGGTCAATTGGAAAAACTAGAAAAGCAGTGATCAGAAGAGATGTCTCCATCTTGCTTTATTCCATTTAGCTGAGGCTTCAAAGAAAAAAAAAACGATTTTTGGAAGAAAAATCGATTTAAGTGAGAGTTCTCTTGAAATGGAGTGTTAAAGCCATTCTAAAACTGTTCAAGATCCAACTCTACTGATAAAAAACAGCAACCACAAACTACTCTAAATTTGGCCTTCAGTTTCTCATTCATAACTCTCATTGGCATCGTGTGTGGCAGTTTGATGGAGGCAGCTATACAAACACTGCATCGATAGGAAGTTTAAAATTCATAACCCGTGTACTTGTCTCCAAAGACCCAGCATCAGTATTCTTTGCTTCAACTAGAGACATCAACATCCCCAAGACACTTGAGAAGATATTTATTAAGAAAAGTAGGTTATTTGATCCACTCTCCTAATGTTCATGATTCCATAAGAGGAGGAATCCAAGTTCAACTATGAATTTGAGATTCTGACCAATCTAACGTGATCTGGTTAAGCAGAACAACATACACTTAACAAGAAGGTTTCATAGAGATTAGAAAAGAGAAAACTGTATTAGTTAGTGAAAGTAAGGAATTATATATTTACATTAAAGTCTATTTTCTTGCTATCCTGCTTAGACTAAGAAGTATGCTAATGATATGCTTCAACTAATGAATAAAATGTTGCCTACAGACTGAGAGAGAGGAAAAGGAAGGAGGGTGGAAGGATGGAATACTTTAGAAAAATGAGAGTATGGTCTAGGTCAAAGACAACAGAAAATCTGCTAGCAATAGTTGTGGATGAGCACCAAGGTCCGTTTAAAGAATTTAACTTAGTAAAATTAGGAAACTCCCAAGTCTTATGTAATTTCTGTTTGTGAGTTAAGGATCAAGGAATCACACAAGTATATCATGTCGTATTGCCCTTTATGATTTGGTAGAAGTCACCCTTAATGATATATTTGAGAAGTGCGTGGCTCAGTGATTAATGAGACACCACTTCCGGGTGGGCCCACACTACCCTCTACGGAACAGCCCACACAGGCTCCACTGGAGCTCTGTGATTAGCGGTATACAGAGGCAATGTGAGCATCAGCATTTGGTTTGCAACTGAATTCTCACCTTGTGGAAAGTCAGGAAGTATAACACTGAAAAATAAAAATGAAAGGTCATTAGGCTTTGAGGTGAAAAGGAGCTGTTAAAATTGTAGAAAATTAATGGCTTTATTGCCCTGTTTCTTAGGCCCGTGGCCTGTGTGACCATTTCAAATGGGAAAGCTCCTTTTCTTTTGTAGCAGAAATGACATTCTTTTCTGCCCCTCCCCAACCTCTACTACCAGCGTCACCACCAGTTAGTTTGGGGAGGTGCATTGTTACAACCTGCATAGGCCCTGAGGTAGCATATGTCACATGGGGGACAAAGAAAGAATGAAAGAAAAAGAGGGAGGAAGAGAAGGGGAGGGAGGGAGGAAGGGAGTAAAAAAGTAAGGGAAGGAGGGAAAGAAAAGAAAAAGTATACAGATGGGTAGATAGCTCATTAATTAGATTGAAAGTAAATGAGATTCATGGGAAAAGAAGGGCACCGTGCCCTTGTTGGTAGTGGTACTTTCCCAGGAGCAGTGTCAGGAGCCGGTGGCTGCGTGGGAGTGGGTATTGTGGCTGGTGGCCCTGACAGAAGCGCTGTGTGGGCAGCAGGGTGCTCTGCTGACCAAGCCAGGCCCAAGCAGACTGGGCAGCTGTCCAGCTGCTGCTGGCCAGAGGCAACAGCAGGTAGAGACCCAGAGCCAGAGCCCCCGAAGAGTTCACAATTACTCATCTGTGTTGGCGGGTCAGCACATTTTCAGCCGCGTCCACCACAGTAATGTGCTGACTTTTCACACAGTGTCAATTTGCGGTCACATACATACATACTGCTTCTCCATTCGCCACTCAAATATTGATCTCCAAAGGGGTCAAAATAATTGGATGAGTGTGCAAGAATACTCCGTACTCATAGCAACTTTTCCTAAGTCAACAGAAGCACTCCCTTCTCATTTGTTTTGCTCCCCACACATTCTAGCACTCGGTTTGTCAAAGAGCCATGTTAAGTCAGTCTACGAAGCCACGTAATGCTTTTTGTACTTTTTCCTTTATCCCTGGGCTGAGGGTTACCTTATATAACTTCTATGAATGTATTAATTGGATGACCACTGTGTATGGGCAAGGATTCCGCTTCTAGTCCTTGTCAGACAGGGAAATGTGCATCATAGAGATGAGGACTGTGCCAGTGTTGCCAAGAGAAGTTCCACTCTCTGCAAATGGAACGTACCAGATTTTGAATTTCCACACTGATGCTGAAATCTACCCACAGAGGTAATAGGTTTAGCTTGTTTCACGTTTATGTTGAGTTTGTTTTAAAGCAGCAGGGACAAAGGAAGCATAAGGCTGATGATTGGCATGTCATCACGTCCTATCCAGTGAGTGCCTGTGATGTGCTCTGCCGTGGGTACCGTGCTAAGTGCTTCACACACATAACCTCATTTAATTGTCCCAACAATCCTACTACGTACACCTGTTTCTCCATTATACTGTGAAGTTGAGTAACTAGTGCTGCTAAGTAAGGCTGCTTTAAATTCAGATAGTCCAGGCTCTACCAAGGGTGTCCAACCTTTTTTCTTCTCTGCTACTCATGGGAAGAAGA